TACCTGGCGTGGATAATTGCTGCTCACAGACCATGACCATAACGTGACATTAGGCGAATGAAATGCTCAAAAAAGCTTGCTCTGCCTGTCTTGGAGAACATTCAAGCGTTCAATTCATTTCTTGGAATGCGTGCAGCGTTCGTCTTCTAGAAGAATCGCAGTTCTGTTTGAATACGTACATATGTGCCCTGTACATTGAATTGGCCAGCCGCTGTACAACCCACTGCTTCTAACTTCCTGGACGAACCTAGTACCGACTAACCGACCACGCAAGGACGGAATCCTGACTGCACTAGGACGGCGTAGAGCCATTATTGGGATACTGCGCAACCTGCGTTCAGGCGCAATCTCCCTCTCTTTATTGTTATTTTAACGGAAAATTTTTCTAATATCTCATTTTGCCTTTATGCCCCCAACGTAACAATAACAATAATAAACAATGTTCAGGAAACAACGTGCACGACTGGCCAGTTGGTTAAAGAAAAGCCTTGGTTTCTTCAGGTAAGAGTTTGTTAGTCAAATTATTTTATTGTTTATTAATATGGATTAATTTAATTAATTAATGATGAGTGGCAAAAATAGTCCGACGTCAAATAGCTACGGCACTTTAGTCAAAGATTTGGTCCCGGTCGGGGACGCTTGCTTTAGTTTCGCACAGGGTATTATTACTGGATGAAAATGGTATACGAAACTTTTCAGGCAACATCAAATTCAATTCTTTACATCTTAATGTTGGCAGCATTCCATATCGCCAATTTATTTGAGGGAGTTACAATACGATTTATTCTAGCTCAATGCTCATGGCAGCTGTGGCTAGCATCAGCACCGTGAGTTTTTCAAAATATTGATACAGGCAGTTTCAACAAGCTTAAATCACTAACTCCATGATTAGGCTACCCGTAACTCGTTTCCACAATATTTTTCAAGCACACCAATGAAAAAATGATGGGATCGAGCAATGGTCAAGGGGTGTTAAACGCCTCTAGGTGACGGGCCTTGTATAGGGTCAGGTTGCACGGGTGGATGGTGAGCTGTATGGGGTTTCAGGCACACATTAGCGGGATTCTACCGCAACTCATATCAATCATTTATTTCTAATTCTGTACAAATCTCAATATTTTCGAAGGGAAATGCTCTCAGTCACGAAGATACTACAAGTCCCAGGGCGTTGGATCATTGAGCAAACGTGAAAGCACCATAGGACACGTGTTGCGTGTCTCACCGCGCAAGGTAAGGGTAAGGTCCGAATTCCAGTGTATGATTACGGCAATCAGGGGCGAAGCCACCGTCGTGGATATGTGTGCAGCCGTAGACAACATAAAAACCCCGCAATCTAGACGTGTTCAATACACCATGAACCTTGATCGATTCCACATTTCCCTCTTGGCCACGTGGAAAAAGTATCCGGGCAATGAGTTATGGGCTTATACAAAGTGTGCCACTCACCTTTGAATCCCTCCGCCTTAGCGTCATGATAGTTTTGTTTCTAAAAACAAGGAGAGAATTATTAGTCTCCATAGCACATTACTCATGTATGCTAGGAATCGAGTAAATGTATGGGAAAAGATAAGACAAAATTGCACCGTACCTTTTTTTTCAAGAAAAGTTTAATGCCATTAAAGGCACAGTTCACGATAATTTTGAGGTACCCGTTTTTATTCGAAAAGAAAAATATAGCTCGAGAATAGTTTATCGAGTTTATCGTTTATCGAATCTCGTAGTTAAGAAAGCGAGGGAACTCGTCAATATCGAGAAAAATATGGCTCCTCAAAAGTAGGGAAAAGAGGTTGGACGAGATTATCATGACGGAAATAACACGGAAGGGGTATTCGGACGAGATCCATTTGTTGTAATGGCGCGAAGAGATGACTACATCAAATCAGAACTGCACAGAACTGCTTTTCGCTGTCGCTATGGGTCATGACAGGTTGCTTGGGATGCCATTGAAACTCGTTCCGCACTCACACGTGACAATCTTTGGACCTTCATAATTCCCTAACAAAGCTGTTTTCCGACGTAATAGCGCCAGATATGGTAGATGAGGGACCTCGAACTCATCCTATGGGAAAATCTCAGAAACCATTTTTATCGTGGACTGTGCCTTTAATGACTATTCACAATAGTATCCAGCAAATGAGTACCAAAGGCACGTGCACTTGACTACCCGTATCATCAACTACGTCGCCAACCATCCTTACATATAGGATGCATCAAATGAAGGCCTTGGGAAAGGACAAAGGTGGATGGTGAGCTATATAGAGTAATATGTACGCGTCTGCGGGATGCTATCTTAAATTGTAGATAGAAATCACATTAAAAAGTACCATGCTAGTATTGTGTGTACAAAGAGTCTTAGCTTTTCCACTGAGATGGGTTATCGAGGTCAGAAGGCTTATACATATAAGTATTACTACTGGGAGCTGAATGATTGAGAGATCTCCAGGTCTCCCGAACATTCAACTATCGTATTACCACTGCTTCATTGTTTTTGAATAATTTTTATTCCTTTCCGCCACAAACGTTAGCCTGCGAGAAAAAGAGCCTATGTTTCAGGTGCATAATAATAGCCCTTGAAAGAGAATTCCAAGCCCCTCTACGGAATCTGTGGAGGAAACGAGTAAAAGTCGGAGTTTCCTCAACGTTTCAGTCTCATGCAAAGGTAGTCCGAAGTATCTTATTTGATATGTGTTGGTAAATGCATGTTTGTTATAATAGTACTTGTAAGTCTCAACTTCAGTATTTCAGGGTGGAGATGGTGTAGTGGCAAGTGGCGCTCTAACACACACGCATGGTCCTGAGATCGAATCCCGTATGGGCACTCGCCTGAACCAACCAAAGCTTACATATGGGCAGCCACAACTCATTGTATAGACCGCATCAGCATACGAAACTTAACCATGAATCTTAATGAAAGTCGAGTACAGGGCTGCAGTAAAACGAGATTGATCAACTTCAAAGACTTTTCCGGCCTTAACTGCAGTCTTTGAACTTATTGAAATCAGCTTTGTCCATTTTTATTCGAGAAACATCTTTTCAATTATTCATACTTCATAGTTCATTCGTTTGCAATTGATCTGCAATCGATTTCTCTAAAGCTTTTTTCAGGCAGCAGATCAATCCCACTTTGACCGTCAAGACTTTCCAAGATTCAGACCGACATCATTATTTGTTAATAGTGACTGATTTTAGAGTTATTTAAATGCAGTGATAGGTTAAAAATATATGGTGTTCGATCTTGATTAGGCCATTTTTTTTGGATTGCGCCACGCATTCGACCGGTAACATCGAGCGCAGTACTACCTAAGGGCGCATTTGACCAGAACAGCAATCTACAGGAACCAGCCAATGTACATACAAGCCAGTTCTTTGACCCTTCAGAGGAGCGTGATGCCACAACGCTGCAGTGATGGAAGGATTAGCTGGCTGGGAAGATATTGAAACAGTATTTCATCCCCATAGTGTAGAGTTGTTAGCCGTGCCATTTACCTAAAGTAGGGTTCACGATAAAAAAAGGTTACTGAGTTCTTCCTTTAGGAATACTTATTTCCCCCCCCCCCCCCCCCCCCNTCTTGGCGCTTAGGGCATAGTGGAAGCCCTGTTGCTGCCGTATTTGGCTTTTCCGCCCCTCGATCGGTGTCAGGTTAGACGAGTGTCGAGACAATACAGATTGCTATTATTCGTTCTAGGACCCACGCACAATCAGCTAATCGCCAAGTGACGAGGCGATGTTTTTCTCCCATTTTTTTTTCCTCTGTTTTTCTTTTTGCTGCCGCAATCCCTTATTCAATTCCCTACTCCTAGAGGCTGAAAAAGGTGAGCTATTTCTGCTGTTACTAGAGTTTTCTTTGTTTAGTTATGCTTATAAGTGAATGAATTTTTGCTTACCATAGTTCGCAGTTTGTTATTCGCACCACGACCCACATGCACGCAGTGAGACACATTGTATGTATAGCTCGTCCAAACGTCCAAGCTACTTTTTAACGGTCTTTCGAAGCCTTTTTCACTTTGGAAACACCGATTCGCGCAGATTCTTCACCTTCATCGCATTTATTTCCTAACTTCTCTTCCATTTTTCATTATAATCTGGATTACCCAAAATTACCGTGAACTGTGCTTTAATACTACTCTCCTACCTATGTATTGTTGGAGCCGTAAAACTCGCTCTTCAGATCTATTCAAGGAAATCATGCCAATTAATCTATTCGGTGATTCTGATCCTTCCAAATGATCGTCAACACAAACGCAAACACATGACAGCTCATCCTTCACGCTAAACAACGGTTTGAAAATTACATCCAAGTTTTTGAAGTAGATCAGATACAATCGCACGAAGCTACCCAGCTCATTTTATTCACCCCGTGCCCAAGCACTTCGGTACAGTTCACAATAATTGAGGTACCTCTTTAAGATTAGGATGGAAAACTTTGGTTCAGAGTAATGCATAGGCACGAAAAAAAGCGAGAAAGCCCGCGCAATACTCGGAATATAAGGCTGCTCAAAAATAGTTGAATTTCGGGGAGCTGCGATATTATGACGACTCTGCTCGGACGAGTTTTCAGTCGTAGACATTGCGTAAAGTGTTGGCCATAGTAGTCCGCTGCCGAAAATTGCTCCCCACTATAGGCATGACTCAGGGCCTCAAAGGATCACCTGTTTCGAATTTCGAATTTCAACATATGCGCTCCATTGTAAATGGTGCAGCCTCAATAATGCTTCCGAAACACGGTCCGTCTGGGTGTGGCCGCCCACGTAATCACACTTTGAGCCTTGTGCTCCACCCTAATCGAATCTTTCCTACCCTATGATGTCCCATGGAATATATGTGGTCTCAGAGATTTACTCCGCTAGGACAATGTGACTTAGGCGTTATAGCGGTCACCAAGCCGAACTGGGCCACCTCTAAAGTGTTGTCTTCCCACAGTTTAATTCTTCAAGGACCTTATATGCAACAAAAACAACACCAACAACAATAACAGAAACAATCAATAGTGAACCAAGAGTCATTCGTCCGCTTTTCGTTTGAGGTTACGTTTGAATTCTTCTATTTCTTTTTTCTTTATATCGTTCATTTTTCGCTCCACAAACATAGTTACTGATGTAGACATCTAGAAGCAACAACGTATAAGACAAACATCAACAGCTGTGTACGTCCTCTGAAGAAAGAAAAGAGAATGGTGAGTCTTGTAAAATGAAAAAAGAAAGAATATTCTGGACCGATCTTCCGATCAATCCTCATGACGAATTTTGCGTGCATGCGTTGGAAATCAAGGAGGTTCGTCAGAATAACAATTGACTCACCGAAAGATCGACGGAGTCGGCGCTTTTGTAGTTATCTGTGTCCAAGCCCTCTGGTACTAGAGGTGTCACAATTATAAGCGCCTAAATTAGTATTGAAAATGACTGCTATGAAAGAGAAGGTGAGCTTATCTCTACCTTTTTCATATTGGTCAGCTCCCGATTGAAGCCAATCAGAGTGTGACCATCGATCTGGGATTCCATCTTCACTCCTGCTGCAGCGTGATGAGATATGGGACTTCCTTGGTAGATGACTAAAGCAAAAATAGAATAAAAATGCACTACAGAACATTACAAAAATGATTTACAGCACAAGCCATTGGCCTCTAAGACAAAGATCTCCAAAATATAGTTTTTGAAAAAAAGAGTGGGACAGCTAGGCACATTTTCTGACAGACGAGGTTTAAAGGTCTAGGATGAATTTCCACAGAGCATCGTGAACAAATACCGCTAAAATATCCTATTTGACTAAGCAAAGTAGTCCTTCGATATTGAACATGAGCTTAACGGAGCTACTAATTGAGTCCCTCACCAGCACGAGTAACACCACAAAGTCTTTTGATAACGTCAAGAAGCAGAAGAAAAGTCCACCAAGACTTATAATAAAGCAAACTCACGATATTCACAACCGTAGGGCAGCCCAGAACGCACACACCATCCATTATTCCGGAGATATCGATAGAGGACATATTTCTTCAAGAATGAAGGACCGCCAAGATCTTTCAATCGCAACCACAACTCATCTGAAGTAGAGCAAATATGAAATGGTAAGATAATGTCCACTGTATGAAGAAATCTCACCCAATGAGAGCTCTTTCTTGTTCTCGGATACTTTCAACACATTAACGTCAATAGACAAGAAGGCAGTCTCCTCAGGGCTAAGATAGAGTCGCTCATGAACCGGCCTCCTATCTGAATAGAAGAAGTAGACCGGAATCGAGCGTTGGCTAGGCAAAACCAATAATATGACCTTTCCATGTTCCTTCTGCGTCTTTGAGCCGTTTCACTACCTCATTATTCTCTTGTACCTCTGGCAGAAGCCTATGATTAATCCTCTCTGCTCGTTCATTCAAAAAGCATCCATAGCAACCCTTCAAATTACAAGAAATTAAGAAAGCACTCATTCCTTGAACATTTCTATTGGAGTCTGTGAGCTTACATGTGCATAAATATGACTTGAACTCCTCTCGTCTGGAACGATTATCGAACCACCGTAAATGATGGCATGGCTTACATGAAAAGGAACTTGCTCTGGAGGATCCTCTTCACCATACTTTTTCTCATTTCTAAGAAGGTTCATTTTTATCACTTGAACATCTGAAACAATTCGGTTCTCCTAGACTTGTACACCTACACTTGCTTACATGCAGGCATGCTTACAGTGCAAGAAGTCTACACTTAATTCTCTTCAAAAAGAACATTTTTCTGTCATTCGTTCATGCCCAGATTGGATGTGAAATTCATATCTCAAATGGAGGTATGAAATTCAGGTCCAATCATGGCATGAACGAATGACGGGATCACTTTCAGGTTGGCCTCGAGAACTTCTGATCAAAGAATCCCTGTCGAAAAAAAATCTCAAAAAAAATTCCGGTCCGGGTAGTTTGGGGGGCCTCTGCCCTTTCCCAACATTGAGCGCTACAGTGCAGAGGAGGGATACACGACCTCACGAGCCTTTTCTGGTGTATAGAAACGTGTCTTGGGAACGGAATATATACCTTTTCCCTAGACTCTGAGAAGGAGGGAGCAATAGAATTAGTGAGAAAACTGAGCGAATTGTTCACTCCTCTCACCCCACCAGAATTGATTTATCAATACGGAAATCTTTGCAAGAGCATAGGCATTGGTTATTGTGCAGCCCTAATACGCAAAGGACTACCACCACCACTCTGAATGGAAGTCGAAAGCGAGAACGCATCCCAAAGCGAAATCGGCAGTTTACTGAAGGGAACCATTCCAACAACATAACTGAGATAAAAAAAAAGCTATCTTTCGACGAAGTATTTTCAGAACATATGCCACTGTATTTTGACTGCTAAAGCGTAATGATATCAACTTTACTCTATCTGCTCTACAACTAAATACGGAATCCTACTCATCTACAACCAATTAAACCTTGTATTGTACATTAACGATGTGCAGAAAAACAGGTTCCATGTGAAACCGTATGAAAAACTTTGTTAAAAACTGTTTTAACCTCACAGCAACATGAAAATCAAGACTGACAATATTAAATCTCTATGATGAAAATCGTGGAAAAAGCAGTAAACGTCGTAGACATCTCCTAGCAAACCAGCTCGTATTGTGCAAACCGGGATGAATCTATCGCTTAGTCATAGACATCCTCACGATCAGCAATGTATTGGAAAATATCTCGTGGAGTTTTCAGCCTGTCTGCATCTCCATCAGGAATTTCAAACCTAAAGAGACATCTCAGAACGGAAATGGAAATAAATAAAAATAAATGTGACGGAATAACAACAACATTTCAATTTCTTAGAATTAATGGCAGAACTTCACAAAAGTTGCTAATACATGAACCATACAGACATCACTCCGAATGAACCGACTAGCACAGCTTTTGTAACTGCTCAGATGTCTATTTTTTACAAGATTACTCGTTTTTCCCCACTATCTTTTCCTCATCCTCATGAGGTTGTAAAATGATAATCATCATCGCTCTTGATTAGTTTGCAGAAAAGAGAACTGCTTTTGAAAGAAAGAGATGGCAATCGCAGACCTAGATATGTATTAGTATTAAACTCGTATATAACGCCCACTGAACAACAGCTGCTACAACTTTTACAATGCCGTTCCGTAGAACGTATTTGCATGAAGTCGCGAAGGAGGAAATGAACGTACGCGCATGACACATAGGAAGCTGGCGGTTATTCAGGATCAGATTTACGCACTAAATTGACTAGATCGCCGTTGATAAGCGATTAGCCAAGGTAACTTCACATGTTATCTCTGATTTTTCCTGAAGCTCTACCTAGTCATTCTTTAACAAAAGCGCAACATTGTCTTCGAGGAACGTGTTGGCACCGAAAAAGATGCTTAGCGATCAATCACGCATTGATCACATAGCAAAAAACAGAAATTCAGAAAAGCATTCAACAATCCGAGAAAGAAATCAAAAGGAGATCAGATTCAGAAAATTTAGTAGAGCTTCTTTTCAAAGAACTTTTTTCCATACCTAATTGTGCACACATGCATCATAACCCTTGCACACATGCACTAGCTTTCCATATGACATTTGTCAAAACTGGAAATTAGCTAAAGTACCAATTAAAAGACTTACCCAAATTCCTCCTCCATCTCCATGATCATTTCAACGTGATCCAAGGAATCTAGACCAAGATCCTAAAAGATCGTGATTTAATAATGCGCTGAAAATAAGTCAAAGTTGAAAATTACATTGACGAAATCGGAGTCCATTGTCAGCTTCTTAGGATCGATTTTATCATATAGACTTAGAACAAGCATAATGCGATCTTCAAGAGTCTTCTTTGTGAGGGGAGCCTGAAAAAAAGTTCAGTGGAACCCTCGTTAAAATATATCAGAGCTAATTCAAGATAATAGTGGAAGGTTTTCGTGTAGTTAATAGAATGTGATCGAAACTATGGAAACGCAAGGCTAAGGAAAATCGGATAAATACAGGGAAATCAACGAGGTACGGACCTCAATCTGTAGAATATGGAAACGCATGGCCAGATACTTTTTTCACTAGAACATCAACTGAGCATTACAAAACAGTTTTTACAAAAAAAAAACTCTGCCTAAAAATAGATGCGACATGCACATTACTATAGAAAACAAAATAATTTCAAAAACAATAAGTGGACATTTTACTATTCTGCGTATGCAATACATCGTAAAGCGCAACGGATACCCTGATTACCTTTCTGATAAAGGCTTAAATTATGCTCTTGAACTGTGAAATCAGGTGAGCGATAGAATACCCTTCTATTGTAGAAAAACAGGATTATGTGTGACCTTGCCCATGTTGCAGTACAATTTAAAGGTTATTTATGTAGAGATTACGCACGCCTTGAAAAGCTCAAGTAGATGGCTAATAAGTATACAAGCATCATGCGTGTACAACTGCTGGAATGATTTTTAACTTCAGGCATTACGAGGGAAAAGACGAAGGATTCGACTCGCCGTCTCATTTTAAGAGACTGTCTCGCGTGAGGGCTAAGGCGATCGCTTAAAAACATAAGCTCACGATCTACATAGGGATGGACCCCGCACTTGCGAGGTGCTTCACTCTGAGACTAAAAATTAAGGTTCAATGCGAGAATAGAATTAAGTGCACACAATGCGTTGGAATACTTTTTCCATCTTAACTGATAAGCACTTTTCCCGAAAACATGTGATCCAACTGTGTCTCTAGCTCAATGTCATAAATAAAAATCCTAACAGGAAAAGCTCCACGAGAAACCATTCAATGTGGAGATGTTTTTCCAGACTTCTTGCATCAGTTTTGAATTATATTACTATGCTTAAATGCCCATAGCACTTAAGGCTGCTCTCATAGAAACGGTAACAGAATCAAGCTTACCTTATCAGAATACGTCCTAATTTGAGTCCTAGTCTTGTATGAAAAAGAACTTGAGGCAATCAATCGGCTAGGAGTGTGAGAAAACGCTGGAATAAATCTTCGAGATGCCAAATGAGTAATAACCGGCCTTGACGTCAGGAAAACCTGTCGCAACATCTTCCAAGCCTGTAAAAGGTCAACTGAACTAATAATCATGGATTGATGATAATGAACATACGAATCAAAGGCAAATACAATGCAAATTCTGAGAACAAGCTTCGATGTAAAGGCACGAATTAAGCGGAAACTCGAACGTAACTTCTGTCTGCAGTCAACGAGGTGAATGTCACCCATTTGACGGAATATTTTCATACTGTGGACTTCATACAGTTTACGTCGTACTTGTTCATTCGGCTGGGTCGGTGGGGGGAGAACTTCCCCTCATGAGGAGAAGTGTAAACAAAAAAGGTGATGCTGTATGCTTACGTACAATTATGCATGAGCATAGCATAGATGTATCCACAAAAGCCTACCAAGCCTTCTCTGGGTATTCCGAAAACGGTAATATTGGGATGTTCAGTTGATTAATTAATCTGGTTTAATCTGCACTGATTCGGAGAATAAACTCTCCTCTTCTTATCAACCTAATGCCGAATCACATCAAATTAAATTTAATTCTGTTTTCGTTTTATTCGGGGTGCACAGCAACTGGTTTCGCCATAAGTGCATTTAAACCAGGTGGTCGCATGCGCGGCGCTCTACGTCAGTCACCTGGAACCGCCATTTTTAAGGTATAGCATGCGAAGGGTCCTGACACGATTAGGTCAGGGCATCGGCCGTGCGACCTAGTCTCGGCACTCCGGCAACGATGGCATGTCCTGACCCGTGCACCTCAAGTTCAAGATTGAATCCAGTTTACGATGACTTAGCAAAGTGTATCTAACCAGTGTCCTATTTGATGGTGCCTTTCTCGTATGTTACTTGTGATGTCAGTCGAAAGTCATTCAGCGAGTTTCCCATTGACGACAGTCTTACTGTAGAAATATAAAGTAGTTTTTCCACAGCACCATATCGCAACCAAATGGACATTCTTGCTTTCCTTCGCCTATAAAATAGTCGGGTGACAAGCAAGTTCCACTCATTAACCTCTACCCATTCTTTTATATTACAACTCAGACATTTCTTAGAAGCAAATGTGTGGTTTTATTGTTTATTTGTTTTTCCATGTTCTCATCTTGTACCATGATGTGATTACGATTTCTTTATCAACAAATTGTCTGAACTCACTGCGGAGTAATAAAGTTTTAGTTACGAATAATTGATAGTATTTGAGGTGGAAACATTCGCTGCGCAACTTATCCCCGCTATAGCTTGCTTGAAGAAACAGTTAACGTTAAAAATGGTTTCCCACAAGGATGAACCTGTAGCTTCCAAGTATGCCAATTAAGCTCTGGTGGGTCGATAAACGGTATAGATATGACGCAATAAAGGCTCAAAGACCTGTCTAGTCGGTGTCCACACCCGAAGTTGGACGTGTTTTAACAGCATTGCGGAGGCTGCCCCATTCACAGTGGAGCACATAAGTTAAAAAGTCAAACAATAGCCGTGACCCATGGCGACAGTGAAAGATAATTGTGGGGACTTGAGGTTAATATTAGCAACTTCTTCACGCAATTGCATACGGTCGAAGTTCAGTCCGAACAGCTCTCCGTTATCTTTGATAGTCCCCCTCTTTAACTTGTTCCGAGGAACCCCACTTTTTTAGAAACCCGTCAATTTTCGCTTTCCTCACATTAAGTGCAGTATCTGTACGAACCCTACCTTACTGTATCTCACAAGGGAAGGATCCCAAGTCGAAGTGGCCATTTGAAATGAGACCAACACTGCTAGACGTATTTTTT